CAGCTCTCACTGCCATTATTTTAACAATAACTACAAAATCCAGCTTATTATGATCCTTGCAATAAAACATGCCTGCTGTACAATAACAGAACAGTAATTTACACAAAACTATTTCTGAACAATGACTTCATCCATTGCTTACTATTGTGATACCAGGTACCAATCACCTGATTAGAATACTGTTGACAAAAATTAAGTTCAAGCAAAGCACCTACTAAATTTACAGATTTACTAAATTTCTACTAAATTTTCAGAGACTGAATATTATAAAGATTTTGAAGCTTGATTGTTAAAGATGTTGTAATTCTAAATTACCATTTTACCGCTAGGTAGATACACTAATTCTTCAGATATAATTATTTCACAGTAAGTCATGCTTGGCAAATTTGTCTAAACCTTTAGAACAGGAAACTAAAGTAGCAGACAGGGAAACTCCAATGGATGTAAATTATAGGACCTTCTGGAAAGCATTTGATAAGGTTCCTCAAAAGATCATGTCATGTAAAATTTAAACTCAGGATGGAACTGAAGATATTGACCCAGTTAGGTGGTGGTGGGTCAAGCCTGCAAAAGCAAGCTATGTGCACTTCAGAGTGAACAAATTTGACAGGAGCTGAAATTTCCATATCTCGACAGCAGGTTCACATGCTAACCTTAAGACAATGGAATGTTTGCAGCCTTTTGATCTTATTGCGGTTTCTGACTTCAAGACACAGTCACCAGCACTCAAAATCATGTGACACCTAATTACATTAGTTTAATGGTCGTATGCCTTAGTTAGCTTTAAGCAGTTGTCTGAAGTCAATGGCTTTCCTTGTTGAATGCCAGCAGCACAAGGTGGTGGTGCAGGAGAATGCCTGCTTACATAGAAGTTTGGTATCAGCAAAGTTAATTTAGTGGTGATGAGCGAGCTAGAAAGAGGGAAAGGCCTGTCATCTTGGACTTGGGTGAGAGTAGTTAATCAAAGTTAAGACAACAAGGCCAAATGGGCAGTGTCAGTAGAGTCACAGACAAGTTCACCTACAGGTGTTGTATGGCAAAGTGCCGTACAATATTTCAATTATCCAAAGAGAGTTTCATGTCAATGTTCTATACAATAAGGGAGTGCCAACTGAGATTGTAAATTCAATTTTGCCCCACAGAATGGCGAGTATACCCCCAGATATTCAGTAAAGAGCATAGGAAAAAAATCACAACATTGAGCTTCTAAGAGAGTTAAGGGCATTTCCCTTAAGTGAAAAGAAAGTGTGCAAAACACAAGTACACCTTTATACTTAGCTCTCTGATTAAGCTGGCCTTAACAAATAATTATGATGCAAAAATGAACAAAGTGAAACCAATGTAACTTGAAATATTTACAAGTAAAATTTAAACTTAACATGCTATCTTTGCCTTTCAATTCATCTAATGTAGTTGCAAGGAAAATCTGCAGGAAAATTGTTGCCACGAAGAACCTCCCTTTTTGCCAGGACATTTTGTGTCTCACCTTACAACATTTGCAACATTGTCAGCCAAAAGCGGATTTCACCAGAGAAAAAGATTGCCCTGCCAAGTGATCACACATTCCCTATGCATACTATTGGTACTTTAAATTTAATTATATAAAAAAGTAAATGTGAAATTCAATAAAATAGCTTCTCAGAACACATTAAGAATGGCAGGATGCATGATCTTGTCACAGTTGCAGCATGTGGAAGTTCTTGGATGCCAGTTTGGTCCACAGCAAGTGCTTGAATTAGGCTCAGCGTTCATGAGTGGGTGGCCTAACTACAGGCGCTGCAATGCAACATGGTGAAGGGAAGTTGCCTGGATTCACTGTAGCAGGAAGCAGTCACACTTAAGGTTGGATCATCTGACTTGCTTAGTGCTCACTGAAACAGGAAAGGAGACCCAAAGTGCAGGAGGTCAGAAGCTTCAGCCTTTGCAACTGTCGCAACAAGTTTGAGGTTCTTTAAGCCGGTCTGGATGAGTGGGAGGATCACAGGACAGAAGAACTAACTGACCATGACACCATGATAAAGAAAGCCATTCAAAAAGGGGAATAATGAGGAACACTGTAGTAGCAGGGAACAGTATACTGAAGGGCATTTAAACCACTCTCTGCAGTAAAGATTATTAGTCAGCTGCATTGCCTGCCAAGTACCAGTGTTCAGAAAATCTGCTCAGGGCTAGAAACAAACTTGCAGTAGGAATGGAAAGATCCAGTTGTTGCGGTCCATGTAGGTACCAATAACATGGGCAAGTCAAACGAGGTTTTACTAAGTCAGTACTACGAGCTAGGTAGAACCTCAAAAAGGTCACATCATTAACAGAGGATGTGTAAACCGGAATAGGGAACTCAGATTAGAGAGATGAATGCGTCTCAGACTCGTGGCTGAGATCATGCTGGGCCTAGCATTCTTGTCGACCGCATACAACTAGAGAAGTAGCTAGAATTTGAAACTAAACAGTGAGGACATGGGATCAAGTTTGGAAAGATATGGTAAATCAGACAGTAGAGTCAAAGCCAAAGGGAAATTTATTAGGCAAACCGCAACAGGAAAGGATACAGTATAATTCTGAGAGTTATAGGTACGTCAGAAGGCAACCCCTTTTAATCAACATAGCAACTGAACGGTCAGACTGGAAAACGTAGCCTAGATAGCAGTTCATAGAGTGCTTTCAGCATAGTTTCTTGGATAAGCACGCTCTGAAGCACACCAGAGAGCTGACTACCTAAGACCATAACATACAGCAGCAGAATTAGGACATTCAACCTATCGGGTCTGCTCGACCATTTGATCATGGTTAAAAGCCCCTCAGCCCCATTCTTCTGCCTTCTCTCCCATAACCCTTGATCCCTTTATTAATCAAGAACCTATCAGTCTTAAATACACTCAATGATTTGACCTCCATAGTCTTCTGCAGCAAGAAGTTGCACAGATTCACCACTCTTTGGTTGAAAAAAATTCCTTGTCTCAGTTCTAAAGGGTCATTCCTTCATAGCGAGGATGTGCCTCAGATCCTAGTCTTTCCTACTTGTGGAACATCTTCTCCACACTCACTCTATCAAGGCCTCTCAGTATTCCAAGTTTTCAATGAGATCTCCCCTCATCCTTCTAAACTCCATCAAGTATGAACCTAGAGTCCTCAAATACTCCTCATATGACAAGCCCTTCATCCCTGGATCATTCTTGTAAACATCCTGGGACTCTCTCCAATACCAGCACATCCTTCCTTTGATATGGGGCTCAAAACTGCTCACAACATTTCAAATGCAGTGTGACAGAACCTTACAAAGCTTCAGCAGTAAATCTCTGCTCTTGTATTCTAGCTCTCTTGAAATGAGTACCTACATTGCATTTGCTTTAACTGCCAACTGATCCTGCATGTTACCCTGAAGAGAATCCTGAACTTTGAGGATCATATTTCCAAATCCTTTCCTTGTTAGAAAATAGTCTATACCTCTATTCTTACCACTGAAGCACATAACTTCACACTTTCCCACACTGTATTTCATCTGCCACTTCTTTGCCCACTTGGCTATCCTGTCCAAGTCCTTCTGCAGCCCTCATGTTTCCTCAACATTCCCTGCCCTCCACCTATCTTTGTGTCATCTGCAAGTTTAGCAACAATGCCTCTAGTTCCTTCCTCCAGATCATTAATGTACAATGTAAATAGTTGTGGACCCAAGTGACCCTTGCAGAACTCCACTCGTCACCAGCTGCCATCCCGAACAAGACCCGTTTATCTCCACACTGTGCCTTCTGCCAGTCAGCCAATCCTCTATCCATGCTCGTACCTTGTCCCAACACCATGGACTCTTATCATATTTAGCAACCTCCTATATGGCACCTTGTCAAAGGCCTTCTGGAAATCCAAACACTTCACATCCACTGGCTCTCTTTTGTCTAACTTGCTGATCACCTCCTCAAAGAATTCTAACAGATTTGGCAGGCATGATCTCCCCTTGAAGAAGCAATGGTGACTCAGCCCAATTTACCATGCACATCCAATCTCATCCTTAAAATCTTACCAAGGACTGAGGTCAGGCCAACCAACCTACAGTTCCCCAAATTCTGCATTTCTCTCTTCTTGAACAGGGGTGTTACATTAGCCATTTTTCAGTCCTCTGGAACCTTCCCAACTCCAGTCATTTCCTGAAAGATCACCACCAATGCCTCTTCAATCTCCCCAGCTCTGTCCTTCAGAACTCTGGTGTGTAGTCTAATGGGTCAGAGTGATTTATTTACTATACTTGGTATTGTACAATGAGATAACATTAATTCCCATAGGGAAGGCTGCCTTCAGTAGCACTGACGGCAAGATCACTGAATTTTACATTAAGTTTGGGGAAGAGATGAATGGTTGAAAGACTATTTTCAAAAATCTTAACAGGATTATGAGGCCACAAAAGCAGGGCTGGCAAAGTGAACTGACAAATCAGAATGAAGGATGTGTCAGAAATACAACAGTAGAAATTTAAGGGGACATTTCAGAAAACACAGAATAAATACATTTCAGTGTACACTTGACTTGTGCTTTTTTGATGCTGAATGGGTTCTGGATATCAAAAGGTAAGCCATTCTCTGCAGAACACCCAGCCTCTCATCTATTCTTGTAGTAGAGATATTTATGTCTGTGTTTGATCCAGTTCAGTTTCTGGTCAAGGTGTTGACAGTGCAATATGCAACAATAATAATTTTTTTGAATGTCAAAAGAATCTAGTTAGATTCTCTTGTCTGGTCAAGTCACTGGCTGCTAGTTTTGTAACATGAATGCTATTTGGCACCTTGGACTCCAAAGTCAAATATCATCTAGGTTTTGCTGTGTGTGAATATGCAGTCTGTCATTCTCAGAGGAGTTGTTAATAGCTTTTCACTGTTGACAAAGTACCCTGTTCTATCCTTCGAGTCAAAAGTGGATGGCCTGGCATTTGCCACATTTGCTTTATTAATATGTTTGTAATTTTGCATTTCCATCTATACTGCTTATATTGTTGCCTATTTGCATGTTTTTAGCAAAGTACGTGGCTTTCCATTGCATCATTTATCATTAAATACAGTTAATACTTGAGGTCCCAACTCAGATTCTTCAGAGACACCTTCATAAGACGATCCTCCCCATCCCATTCGCTTCAAACAGCTTCCGAGCATTTACGCTCTTCCTAAGTAAGGTGACTGATACTGCGCACAGTACTCAGACATGGTCTCATCAGTGCCCTGCATAACAGACGCATAACCCCGCAACGTTCTATTAGCTTTCCTAATTACTTGCTAAAACTACATACTATCTTTTACAATTCATGCGTGAGGAAATCCAGATCCTTCTGCATTTCTGAGTCCTGCAATCTCTTACCATTTAGAAAACATGCTTTTCTTTATTCTTCGTGCCAAATGACAGTTTGACATTTTCCTTCATTTTACTCTATTTGCAATCTTTGCTCATTCACTTAATCTAGCCATTATTATCTTTTTATAACTTTGTTTTCTTCACAACTTAATATCTTACCTATCTTTGCGTTGTCTAAATTTTGACAAACGTCTTCCATCTCTTTATCTGAATCATGTATATAAATTGTAAACAGTGGAGGTCACAGCACCATTCCCTGTGGACCACCATGTATTACATTGTGCCAAATTGAAAAAAAATACTTGTGTCTACTGTCTGCTTCCTGTTAGCCAACTGATCTTACTATCCATGAAAACATGCTACCTCCAAACTGAGTACTTTTATTTTGTGCAATAACCTTTTCTGTTGTCAAATGTCTTCTGGAAATGTAAGTGCAGTGTATCCATTGGTTCCTCTTTATCGACAGCACATTACATTCTCAAAGAACTTGAACAGATTGCTCAAGCATGATTTCCCTTTCCTATACCAAGCTCTGCCTGATTATCTTGAACTTATCTAAGTGCCCTGCTTTAACTTTTTCAATAAAAGCTTCTAACATTTTCCCTGTAATGATGTTAAGCTATTTGCCCTGTCATATCCTGCTTTCAGTCCATTTTTTGAATAATGGAGTTACAATTGTTATTGTCCAATTTAATGGCACTGTCCCCAAATAATTTATTATCTCACTAGCCACTTTTAAGACCCTATGAAGTCCATTTCGCTCCAGCCTACAGGTCTAACAATTTACTCAGTACCACTTCTCTGGTGATGGTGAGTTTCCAGAGCTCATCCCTCCCTTCCATTTCCTCATTTATCACTGCTTCTGGGGAGTTACTTGCATCAAATATAGGCAAGACTGATGGATAATACCTGTTCAATTTGTCTATCATTTTCTTATTCTTCATTATTAATTCTCCTTAATTCAGCATCCCTTTCTGTAGAATCAATGCTCATCTTGTCAACTCGCCTTCCTTTAAATATTTAATTTTAAAAATTCTTACTATCCATTTTTATATTTCAGGCTAGATTCCTCTGGTACTGTAAATTTTCTCTATCGTATTTTGGGTTTTTTTTTTTTAAATGTTCTCTCCAATCTTCTGACCTGCCACCTGTTTGTGCACAATTGTGTACTGTTTCTTTAAATTCAGTACCATTTCTAAGATTTCTAGTTAACCAGGGGTAGGGCTGAAGAATCTAACCACATCTCTTTGACATTCAACAAAATTATTATTGTGGAGTGTTGCACTGTTGACACTGTGACCAGAAACCGAACTGGATCAAACACAAATAAATATCTATGCTACAAGAATAGGCGAGAGGTTGGGTGTTTTGCAGAGAATGACTCACCTTCTGATATCCGGAACCTGTTCAGCATCAAAAAAGCACAAGTCAAGAGTGTGACAGAATGTTATGCATTCAATTAGATGACTGCTACTGCAACTAAACTCAGGTTCAACACAATCCAGGACAAAGCTGCCTGCTTAACTGGCACCCCAAAACCTTAAATACTCGCTCCCTCTACCATCTGCTTATAATGTGTTCAATGCATGCCATCTACAAGATGCACTGCAGCAACTCGCCTGGATTCCTCCGAATCTTTCTGTGTTTGGTTTATGACAAAATCCCTAGTAAAAAGTGTACCTGAAGTGGATTTTCCAAACAGGTATTTCAGTTGTTTTTGGTGTTCAAGATATGATCATGCTGGAGAATTAATCCAGTGGCAGCTTCAAGTATTCCATTCTCAAGAGACAACCCTTCTAATCACACCAGCCTGATTCTTTTTCACTTCCCAAAAATATCATACTGCAGTTAGAGACTGTCAATTTAGCATGAATTGCTGCCAGATTACTTTGGGGGTCCTGGCCGAGACATGTATCCTGGGAGCTAATTAAGCCTGTCAAAATTATTTTATGTCACAATAATGTCCTGGTGTCTCAAATTTTGTTAGTCAGTTAACTGCCAAAGCAAAATAATGGACAAATTCACAAGATAGAATCACTGAGAATCCTCCAAATCTGGAATTTGAATTATTCACCATGAAGCTTTGGCCTTCTAATTTCTTGTGTCTAACATATTAGACAATTCAGACAAAGCAAACAAAATATATTCTACCAAAATGCTAAGTGCACACAGAACTATCTAATCCCAATAATCTTACGAGAGCTTCTAGGAAACTGGACTTGGCTGAATTAATACAAACACAACAATTACAACAATAACTTTACATCAAAAGTACTTCATTGACAGATCATGAAAGGCACTATACAAGTGCAAATCTCTCAAAATATTTTAGCTTTTTTCACTAGCTTGAATCCAAAACCTTGACAACCCAAAGTTTGCATCTAAAACTAAGGTAGCTAATCACTGAATCAAAGTGGCTAGTTTATCCTTCTTTTGACCATGAGATCCTTACAATTTGGACAGGTACATGAATGAGAATGGTTTAGAGGGATATAGGCCAAATGCAGGCAAGTGGGATAGTTTAGTTTGGGAAATTTGGTCAGCAAGGACAAGTTGGACTGAAGGGTCTGTATCCACACTGTACGACTGACTATAATTGTAACTAAAATCTATTAAAATAAATTATTTCAGCTTCTGTTTGTAGAGGAGAATCAAATTAAATTATACTGCCATTTAACATTGATACAAATATCACGTCTGGTCACTGTGCTCCAAGACAACAGAGATGTCATTTCAAGCACAGTTATATCTCAAGGGAATTAACATTGATTCTTAAAATATTCAAGAAAAACTGTGTGCGCATATATTGTCTAGATCATTTGATGGTTAGCTTAGATTTACCATGTTTAATTTTATTTATGTTTCCTTGCTCACCAGAAAAATATTGAGCGCTTATTTTAGAAACAAAGAAAATAAGAAACTAAGTAGGCCATTTGGCCCATCAAAACCACACTGCCACTAAAAATGGCAGTGGCTGATCCTCTATCTCAATGCCATTCTCCTGTGCTCTCCATACCCTTAGACACCTTTAGATTCTAGAAATATATTTCGATGATTTGGCCTCCTGAACCTTCTGTGGTAGAGAATTCCATAGCTTCGCCACCCTCTGGGTGAAAAAAATTTTCATTTCAGTCGAAAACAAGGCTGCACACAATACTATAGGCGTGGTTTCACTAAAACCTTGTATAACTGCAGCAAGATTTCCTTGTTCCTGTACTTAGTCTCGAAATGAAGACCAACACATCATTTGCCTTCCTAACTGCTTGCTGCACCTGCACGCTTGCTGCACCTGCATGCTTGCTTACAATAACCAGTTAAGCAACAACCCCCAGGTCCCTTTGTATATCAATATTTACTAATTTGTGACCATTTAGTTAATATTCCATTCTGCTTTTCCAAACCGAAGTGGACAACTACATGTTTATCTATGTTATACTGCATCTGTAATGTAAAAGGTAAAGTTATCATAGTCCTACCAGACCATAGGGCTGCACTCAGTGAATTGATGGTGGTTTAACACAAGGGTCACCATGCCTCAAGACTAGGAGAGAAGTTGAAGAGAGTTCTGCATGGCACCTCAGCCAGTGCAGAAACTGAACCCACGCTGTTAGCATCATTCTGCATTCCATCCAGCCAACTGAGCTAACTGACTCTCATCTGCCACATACTTGCCCATTCACAACTTGTCTAAGATTGTCCTGAAGCCTCTTTACATCCTCATGAATCATAACCACACCTAGTTGTGTGTTCTCAGCAAACTTAGAAACATTACCCTTAGCCCTCCCATCTAAATCATTGATATTATTATGTATAGCTGGGGCCCAAACACTGATCCCCATGGTGCCCCACTTGACATCACCATCCATTCAAAAAAATGATACTTATTATTAATGTTGCCTGTCTGATTTTTTAAAAAATATGTCCAGAAGTGCTCTTACACAA